TCTGTAGTTGTATCCTTCGGAGTTTTGTCTGTAGTTGTATCCTTCGGAGTTTTGTCTGTAGTTGTATCCTTCGGAGTATTGTCTGTAGTTGGATCCTTCGGAGTCTTATCTGTAGTTGTATCTTTCGGAGTATTGTCTGTAGTTGTATCCTTCGGAGTATTGTCTGTAGTTGTATCCTTCGGAGTATTATCTGTAGTTGTATCCTTCGGAGTATTGTCTGTAGTTGTAGTTGTATCCTTCGGAGTATTGTCTGTAGTTGTATCCTTCGGAGTATTGTCTGTAGTTGTATCTTTCGGAGTATTATCGGGAGTTAAATCTTTCGGAGCATTATCTGTAATTGTAACTTTCGGAGTATTATCTGTAGTTATATCTTTCGGAGTATTATCTGGAGTTGTGTCTTTCGGATTTTTGTCAGGTGGAGCTGTATCTGGTGGATTTTTATCAGCTGGTGCGTCGATAGGATCATTTGGCGTTTTAGGAGCATTAACAGCCTCTTTTGGTACTTCTTGCGGTATTTCATTATTTTTGGCGTCGTTATTCTTGACGTTATCATCACCGTTTATCTTTGCGTTATCATTAACATTGATCTTTGCATTATCGTTATTGTTATCGTTAACAACATCTTTGACTTTGGCGCCAACTACATCATTGTTGTTATTAATGTTTATGCTGTCATTATTATTATCGGTGTTTGCTGTTGTAGGAAATTGTGTTTCACTATCTTGTTCTCCGGAAACGCTATCATCTGGAACTTTCGATGAGGGTATATCGACATCGTCATTATTTTCCCAATTATTACTTTCAATTATGTCTGAATATGACATGCATCCAACATTGTAAGCATCGTGGAATGGTACAACAAGTATAGTATCCTTATCAATTAAAGGCAAATTAATTATTTTACAAGGGTCATCTTTATCATTAGGTTTAGCGAACGATGCTATGATTAATTGTCCTGAAACGCCATAATCGGGTTTATGAATTCCAAAAATATCGATATTTTCATATGTGGTTATCTCATTATTTGAAGAATCATATACCGTTAAATCGGCAGAATTTAATTCAAGGAGAGATAGGATTAGAAAAAGGAATGTTAATATTGAATGGGTATTGAATACGATATGCGAATTGAGAATTTTGTTGCGATAAAATAATGAATGCATGTTTTAGATTACGAATAGAAAAGCCTATTATCATATCCAAGTGACAAAGAATGAAATGCGGTGAATTATTTACGCGAAATAAACGTTGAAACGTTTAATTCGGAAAAATTATAAAAAAATATAATTGCAACCGCTTTAAAATTTGCAGAATGAACCCTTTGACTTTCTACTTAAATTTCTAAAACTTAACGCAACATAATATTATGGATATTAAAGGAGAAAAAAAAAAATATTGGAAGGGTATGACGAGAGAAAAAGTAAGCTAAATATTGAAGATATATATAAGATTGGTCATAACCTCAATATTATGCGGAAAAATTACTTCGTGGCTTGTATACTACACAAAAAAAAACAACTTTCTTTATAACATACTTAAATGGAAATTCTGAATCATGAAAATTATTACCAAAATATTCTCGTGATGTATATACAAATAAGCGAATTAAGAATCTAATTATATGATATCATCTTGAGCAAATTAACATAATCGAGCAGGAAGGTCAAGGTAAACAAAAACAAAAATAGATTTTCAATTTTGATATAATAATTTGACCTTGAAATCCGTTTATGGTGATCTCATTCGTCTATGATTTTTAATCAGGCTAATTTCATTGTGTTTGTCTTCGTATAAATATTTACCATGCATAAAGCAAACCAATGGTTTGGATAAGCTACCACATATGGCAAAAAAAAATTAGTCGCCATTCGTTGACAACTAAAGATAGATGAATCGATAAAAAAAAATTTTCCTCCATTTGCTGATCATACATAAAAAAGAGATTGAGATTCTTATGATAGAAGATGGGCTTTTTATTATTTATTCATTCTCAAAAGTATCAAAACCCTTTTTTTTTTTTTTTTTAAATATAACTGATTTTTTTTAGTGGCGAAATTGCTTGTCGTGTAATGCAAACTGCTAAGAAATTAGGCATAAAGACAGTAGCAGTTTACAGTGAAGCCGATAGACTTGTCGTGGCTTGTCATAAACAAACAAACTATTCTAAAAGAGTTCATTAAGTTCATGCTTTTCTCATGGATGGTTTGACGAAAATCTTGTCCAGTGAAATTAATTAATCGTGGCGATGACCATGTGTGAGGGATATGCTAAAGCCAAAGTGAATTGCACATAATATATGAAATATCAAATATTTTCAAATGAATGTGTTGTGACGTTCTTTTTTTCTTTAAGAATGAAATTCCATGCTGTGATGCTTATCAAGGTGACAAATGATATTGAAATCTCGTATTTTTTTATTGGTAGCTTGGCAGGTTATGCAATGTGGCGATCAAGAATGAAATCGATTACACTGCATTTTTATAGATGACGGATTTTCCGGTTCAATCAAAATTTGGTATACACCATGAACAAAAATTATTGGATCAATATAAATTCTCTAAACAAAATTTTTTTACTAATTAAATCGTTATTAAGATATTTTGTTCTAATATTCATATATATAAGATAATTGACATTAAACATCAAGTTACTTCAAAATTTTTAAATTGAGTTACGAACATAATAAATCATATGATCCGTAACATGACGTTAATATCAAATCTCCCATATAATTGAGTTTAATGGTGAACTTAATGATTTATCAAAATGGCAGTTATAATATCCCTGTTTCTGATCTATGGCCAGTACTTCGGTAATGCCCAACGGGCATTAAGCTATAACGGGAAGTTTTGCATACAGTTGATTGATGCACAGAGTTTAAATGGAAATAAATCAAATCAACTTTGAAAAACACCTATGCCCGATTAACGTAAATTTTTTTTTATTTCTTTAGATACCGGATGCCTTTGTATTATTTTATCAGGGTACCATTATCAATATATTATTAAAAATTTTTTTCTTTAAATACATATCAAAGTACTGTATTTTGATTGCACAGAGCGGATGTAACTGAATTTATCATTCTGATTTATTTGACTAAGATTATGAAAGCCGATCATGCCAGATGATTTATTCATTTATTAACATCAAATTATACATTACATAATATGTGACATGGTTAAGCTCGACACATAATATCCTCATGCGTCACGAATCACAGTTTGGGTGTCAAATCCTTTAACACGCCTTTTTTTTTATTTAGATTCAGCTAACTTTGATGTTGTGTTAATCTCATTACCACTCCTATTTTCCAGATTTTTCTTAATTATATTCTCCAATTTGGGTCCGATGCGGTAAATGATACAAGTGATATCAATTCCTCGCCAATGCTAAATAGTTTGTGGATCTTCGCTTCGGTAACGTTCGGAAGTTGTTTGCGTGTTTCCCTATTAACTAAAATTTGAGCCGCCGCACGCGGTCGATAAGATCTTTCATAATGGATTAGTCGCTCCGATAGAGCCTCCCTGAACTTGTAATAGCACTTGATGACCTCTTTGTTTGCTTGGTTTGTAGCAGATTCGGTTCTGATGATCTCACGGTAAAAATTGGAAAAATCACCTTCCGTATCTTCCATCGGTAACGAAACGTCAACCTGAGGTCCGTTGTTATTTAACTCTCGGTTAATGCTTTCTTCTAACGTGTCCCTTTGTTTCAAATGGGTGATATGGTATACTATACTTTCATAACTAATATCTGTCGAGTTGACCTTCACCAACCTCGTAAGCTAAATCCCACGACGTGTAAATGATCTTGGACGTCAGTGTGCTAAGGGGAAAGATGACGACATGCTTCATCAATAATGTAACCCAACACAAATTCATGGTATTAATCATGATAAGGGTAAAAAGGAATCGCCGAGTATCTACCTTTCTGTACTTTTGAGTGAAGAAGGAACGAGAATGAGATGAATGAACCCGAGGCGGTGATAATAGATAATGGCAAATCCGATTCAGGAACAGTAAATAGCCGATATAACATTAATCCAAAAATGCTCAGGTTCAACGGAAAGTAAAAACACACGGTAGCGCTTTTAATATATACCCTTTGAATCTGTTGTTGAGGAGGTCAAAATGCACTATTGCCAATATGATAAAGAGAATAGTAAGATAAATAACGAATATCATTATGTGATGCTTTTTGTGTATGAAAAATGATATAATTGGTGGGATCAAGATGATTAAGAAGTCATCGATTAACCCTAGTATAGGACCACAATCCCTCTTTACGTTATCCTCGAAAAAGATGAATATCAGGGTTGGAATAAGTGTATGTTCTTTTAATCTTTTTAGTTTTTCTTAATCCGGTTAGGATGGTGTCAATGACTTCGGAAGTGGACTGATTGTGCTGACGCTGTAGAGAGAAAATTAAACGACAATGATGTCAAAATGATCAAAAATTTACTTTTCGTCATGATAACGTTATTTTTGGATCCTTCTATTATTCACAAAAAGTGATACTACTGAATATAATGTGAATTTTTCAAAGTATGGAGGGAGGTTTTTTTTTTTTCATGTTTTTATTATAAAGATTGCGAAAATGGATCAGGATCACCATACAAACTTTTAAAATTGGCTTTTTTTTTTGTCTCGCCAAAATTGGTAATATAAACGGTCAAAGAGAGTTTTATGTGTCAATATGTTTTTTTTTGTAAATACTTTGATCATGATCCTAATTTGGCAAAATTGTTCTTTATTTTTCTCGTTTTGTCATTTTCATACTAAAAATTTTGCAAATGAAGTTACTTGATAAGGAAGTTATTATTCGAATATTTTGATTTATTTTATTTTATTTTATTTATTTATTTTTTTGTACGATTATTTTTCATCATTTGTCTCTCGAGGAACAACAATCTTTGTTTGTTCCTTGATCATTTTATATCCATTGTACAAATCATGATAAAACTTTCGATCGGAAAGAAAAGCAAATAAACTAGTGGTTACGAAAGTCACTTTATTTCATGAAGGATCATAATTGCGCAATTTCTCCGACTTCATTCCCCCAAGTAAGTTGAACCTGACTTCATAAATTCTCGAATGTCGGGCATATGAAAGGTTCGCTCAAGGTTATAAGATTTAATCATCTCACGTTGAGAGCTATCTCACTTTTAAAACCTTTGAGAATCCTCGTGCCACCTCCTACATGGAAGTAGAAGCGTAACATAATTTTTGGTTTATCATGTAATTTAGTTATAAAGTATTCTGATTTGTTGTAACATAAGAGTTTACTTAAAAGCTCCTTAATGTGTAAATTAGTCTTATATTATAGGTAAGTAAATGTACGGTCATAATAACATTACATTATATTTATAAATAAAATAAAAAAATCAAAATTATAAATTGAATAATTCAAAGAATTTAACCTCATCAGCTTATGTGAAAGCTTGACTTTCTGTTTTGGCTTTATCTAATTTACTTACAAAATCTAATAAAAATTCTTTAATTCCTCTTATTAAAGTAGATTTCATCCCTTTCATACCTATCAGGAGTAATTATATTGTAGTTTTAAAAAAATATCAATTAAATTATTATTTTTTTTTCTAAATTTATATTTAAAATATTGGTAATTTGCTAGCATTTTAATAGCAAATGTCAATTAATAAATAAATTTATAATATAGTTCTTACCAAAAGTTACTGATCACTTTTTTATATAATATTATATCCAAAATTTTATTTTAATTAAATAATTTTTAAAGTTTATATTAAATAATAAGTATTAGTTAGATATTCTTATGCAATAATAATTGTTTAAATTTATTGCATTATACTATTAATTAAATCTTTGATAGTTTTTTTAAATCTTTTTATATATTTAAATTATAATCTAATTATAAATCAATTAAGATAAAATATATACTATTATAAATTATTATAATATTATAATTATTTTTAAATAAGTAAAATTGTCAATGATTAGCAATTTCACTAAAATAATCTTTTTGATTCTTAAATTTCTTGTAAAAAAAATTATTACAGTCAACTCTTGATATAGCGAACTCTTGATATAACGAATTTTTTGAACAAATATAATAAAAATACTCTTGTTATAGCGAATTGGCCAATCAAATCTCTTAAAACCTTCAATATAGCCTTATAGTGAAGTTGAAGTCTAGAACATAGAGTTCATTATAACAAGAGTTGACTGTACATACATACTCATAAATATAAATATAATTTGATTTATTTAAATATTAAATTACTATTAAATGACTTTATTAATATTTTTATTTTTGATATTATTAAACAATTGATTTTAATTTTTAAAAATTCTAGAAATTTATAATGATTTTTATTATTATAGCAAGTAATACTTTTTATTTTATTTTATTAATTTTCTTAGTATTTTATTTCAAACTATTTTTTTATTTAAATCTTTAGATTTTAGATAAAACTTAAAAAGTAGTATTTTTTTATTAATACTTCTTTATATTAAATTTTTATTCTTTTTATTTTTTAAAAAAATAATTATAAATTTTTTTTTATGTTTTAGTAATATAAAATAAGTAATATTTTTAATAAATAAATATTTAGTTATTTTAGTATTTTTAATATTTTAATTTTAATTAATTTATAAATTATTTTATTATATTAATTCAAAAATAGTAATAAAATTATTATTATTATTAATGCAATAACTAATTATATCTGATAATAAATAAGCATTATATAGTTTTAACTAATTGTAATATATTAAAAATTAAGTTACAATTAATTGCAATTAATGACAAATAAATATCATAAGATTGCTATATTATTTTTAACTTTAACTATTTATTATAAAATTTAACATTAATTTAGAGTTAGATTAATTTAGTCTAGTTTGATCTAAGATTTGTTTCTTCTTAATAAATTAATTTATAAGAATAATCTAAGGATTAGTTTATAATATATTAAAATATATACATATAAAATGATTATTTAATATAATAATAATAAAATAATTGTATACAAAATGTTTACTATACTTTTTAATCTCATTATTACTCTATTTTTGATGTTTTTATTTTAAATATTATTATATAATAAAATATCAAAACAGGTTCAAATATTGATTTATAGATCAGATTATTCTATAAGAAGAAAAAACTGAGTTAATCTAACTTTAATTTTGTAATATTTTATAAATAAAATTTACAATAATATATTATAAATAATAAAAAATTCAGTCTAAATCAGTTCTTAAAATATGAAATAAAGATTATAAATATTGGTTATATTAATTAGTCTAAAACTAATCTTATTAGAATTAATCCATCTATACATTAATTTAATATTATTATAATATTAGTTATAATATTAAAATAATATTATAATAAGATTTTTCAGATAATTATAATATTATTATAATATTAAATTAATATTATAATAATATAAATTTAATATTTATTATTATTAATATCAAATCAATATTATAATGATTATAATAAAATATATTTATAAGTTATTATTAATAATAATTCTTATATTAATTTAATATTTTATTTTTATCATTATAATATAAATTAATATTAATATTCTAATAATACTATTATAATAAATTAAATTAATATTTAATTTTAAATTAAATATATATACTATTAATAAAATAGATTACTAAAATTTAAAATATAAAATTAATTTATTATATATTATTAGAAATACAGTCAACTCTTATTATAACAAACTTTATATTCTAGACTTTAACTTCACTATAAGGCTATAATAAAGATTTTAAGAGATTTAATTGGCTAATTCACTATAATAAGAGTATTTTTATTATATTTATTCAAAAAATTTGTTATATCAAAAGTTCACCATATCAAAAGTTGATTGTATTTAAAAATTTTTTATTTAAATATATATTAAAATTAATAAATTAAAATATAAAAATTTTGCCAGTGAAAAAAAACAAAATTATCAAAAAAATATTTTTATTTTATAAACTAAATATAAATAAATTTCAATTCAATATTAATTTAAAATAATTTTTTTTAGTTTTTTTTTTTTCTTATTATAAAATATTTATATTGTATAATTTATAAATATCTTTATTATTATTAAATTAAGATATTAAAAAGATATATATCTTAAATATTAATAAAATAAAATATATAATTTAACTAAATATAAATCTTATTTTTTTATAATCTATTTGTAATTATTAATAACTATTTATAAATTCTATGATATTATATTAAATTTTTATATTAATTTAAAATTTCTAAAATGTAATCTCTAAATATCTTTAAATATTTTATATTTTAATTAAAATAATTTTTAATATTACTGTAAATCTTTATATATGAATTTTTAAATAATTATTATTATTTTTAAATTACAAATCAAATATGATTTGATTCTTTTTTTAATTTCTACTTTAAATATTAATTTTTTTTTATATTAATTTTAATAATATATTCTTTATAAAATTTGATTTAAAATATCAATAATTAAGAAAATAAACTTAATATTATTTTTAATTTTAATTTTTAAATAATATAATAAATCATTATTTTCTTATTAGATTTATTTTATTATTCATATTAAAAAATTAAAGTTAAAAATTAAAAAACTTTAATTAATATATAAAATAAATATTAAAGTTTTTTAGCAAATTACTAAATCTTTTTTTATTATAAAAATAATTTGATTTTTAATTAAATTTTGAAGTTTTAGCATTTTATAATCTTTTATTTTAATATTCTTCTATAAAAATAATTTAGAAATTTTATTAATAAATTTATCTTTATATTTATAAAGAAGTATAATAGCCTATTTTTATATTATTATTACAGCCAATTCTTTAAAATGCTTATAAGGGATAAGCAAAGCAATATTTTTAGA